AGTCACCAGGGAAATGCAGATTCCAACAGCGAGACACCACTGTACACCCACTGGCACAGCTAACACTAAAGTATGAACCCCACCCTGAGCGTCAGTGAGGGCACACAGCCATTGGAACTCCCCTATGTGGTTGGTACAGCAGACAAAAAGGCAGAGCCACTTTGGAAAACTGTTTGGCAGTTTCTTTTAAAGTTTATGCACCTCCCCACTGTATAACCCGGCACTTCCACTACCACACATATCCCAAGGGAAATAAATGTGCGTGTCTATAAGAACGTTCATGGCGACTGTATTGATGATAGCCCCATACTGAAAACAACCTGAACGTCCATCCAGGAGAACCGGGTGGTAAACTGTGTTTTTGTGTAATGAAACAGGAGCAATTTTTAAAGAATGAACCACTAAGCGGCATGGATGCCAACACGGTGCTGAGCAGAAAAGGCTAAACCTGCACTAAAGTTTTTCCAGTGATTGAATCAGTAGTGGCTCTCTTGATGGGTGCTGACTGGGAAGGGCAGCAGGGAATTCTGGGCAGCTGGTCTGGGAATGTTCTAGATCTCCATTTGGCTGTAGTCGCGTTGGATACGTGTGCAAGTTTACCAAGCTGTACACTTAAAAGATGCGTGTATTCTGTCACTGGTAACTGAGGAAGTCCTCAGAAGAGTGCATCTGTGTGACAGGAACGGGATGCCATGAGACACCAAGAACAGTAAGCTCTTGGGAACTAGATATATGTAGCAGAAATAAAACTCGCAAAGATGAGAAAGCAGAAGTGGAAGAAATCACAGAAAGTACCACAAAAATGAAAAACAAGGGAAAAAAATGTAAAAAAAAAAAAAAGGCAACACAGGTGGTCTGAATAATAGGATCCCAGAAGAGATCAGAGAACATCGGCAAACCACCAAACAATTAAAGGTATTCTGTAACTTCAGAGCAAGCTTCCAGACTTCAAGGCCTTCGGGTAACAGATGAAAATTACAGTCATGAAATGTAAAGGCAGTGGAGGCAAAGCAAAGATTCCTAATAACGCAGTGAGAGGGGGAGGCTGGATCCTGTAGAAAGGGCTAAGTCAGAATGGCGCCAGACTTCACGACAGTGGCTGGAACCACAAGTCCACAGAGCCATGACGTCCACATTTTAAGGAAAGTAACTTCCAACCTACAGTTGTATATATCACCAGCCGTGCAACTGGTGAAGGGTAGAGTGTAGATTTCTTTCTCAGGATGTAAGATCTCAAATTCACCCCCATATGCCATGTCTCCAGTTGCCTCTGGAGGAAGGCACCTAATGTGGGAGAATACATCAAGGAAGAAGATACCGGACCCAGGAGAAAAGCATGAATTCTTGGTGTTTTGATGGGGGGAGGTGCAGGATAGCCTCACAGAAGGCTCCTGATGGGAGCAGGTCAGACGCTTCCAAACAGACTTGCCCAACAAAGTATAAAAGTGACTGGCAGCCTCACCTGGTGGAGCTTTTTGAAGGGAGATTTCTACACCTGCAGGAGAGCTGACCACATACGAAGGATGAGGACGTAGTTCACTGCATTCCTGGGAAACTACAGCTGAGACTGGCATGCTGCACACTCGCCCATCAGCAGCTTTGCAGAGTCACGTGAGGTCAGCACAGGGTATTGATCCAACCCAAATCACAGTGGAGTCCCCCGGAGCGGTCGGAGTGGGAAGAGACAGCCATCTCAGCCCCCACGGGAAGGCCAGAAACGGCCTGCACCTGAAGGGTCAGTAGACGGCGTGGTGCGTTCATTAGTGGTGTCTCACACACATGGGGTGCCAGGCCGGGGAGGCCGTCTTTCCTAACTGACTTTGCAGGGCCATTGGACTCTAGATCCCGTGGAATGTGTGTCTGATAGAAATGGCGACAAAGTGTATAAGCCAATATTGTCTCTGGATAACCCCATGGTGAGAGAAGTCAGAAGATGTAAATGGGCGGTTTAAGGAGGCATGCTGACACTGGGGGCACATCCGTGTGTTCCACAAGTGGAGGCAGACTCAGCCTTGCTCCCCGCTAGGGGCGAGGTGCCTGTGTGCCAGCCCTTGAGGGCTCCTGTGTCTGGCACTGTAGGTCGTTACTGCACATTTGCATCTTCTTTTTCTGTGGGGCTATCAAGAGACCACACGGTCTGTAGAACTCGTCAGTATTTCCATCAGAGATCTATGCCACAGGATTTAAAGAACCAAGTAGTCCCACCAGTGTTGTTGGGAAGACAGCCTCGCCCTCCCAGTCACCCTGGTGAGCGTGGTGTCACTGATGGACGCACTAGGTTGCACCACCAGCCCTTCAGGTCCAGGTGCCTTTCTGACTTGGCACTGTGGGCTGCAAGGATTTTACGTCTGACAACGTGGAACACCAAGTTTGGCACAGCTCTGGGGATGTCAGAGACATGCGTCTGCCTGCTCCTGCACTGCCTAGACATGGGCACACCCCTAGAGGGAGGCAGGTGTGGGGGTGATGCCATGTCACAGGCAGCAGTACAGACTCTACCTGCTGTCTGCGACCCTCAGGAACACCTGGGACACACCGGAGCCCAGGGATGCCACACGCAGCAGCATTAACAAGCCACACGCTTGTCAGGTGGTGTCAAGAGAAAATAAGCACGGCCCTCCTGCAGCATAAGGCCGTGGTACACAGGAAGTCGTGAAACAAGCTTGGGGTCCTCCGTGATGAGGGTGGCAAGGCAGGGCCCCCTCCTAGGCCCGAGGGCACTATCGCGTGCGTCTCCAGTGTCTTCCAGCAGGTCTGAGGCAAGCCTGCGTTCCAGCCCGCTCCCCAGAGAGATGGGCACCGTCCTGTGTGCCCTCCCGCGACCGCAGCATCCCTGGCGTCTTCTGGCACGGATGCGGGTGTGATCTGACACAGGCCATTTCCGCATGACCCGTGGGGCCCTGGCTGTGTCCCCCGTTTGTCTCGTGGCCCCGCACGTGTCACGCTGCCCCGTCTGAGCAGTGCACGTCTCCTCGGGAGACGACCAGGGGGGTCCCCGTAGGTAAGCTTTCACGCTGTTTCTGATACTCTGGTGCTGACCTTCCCAGCAGGTCAGGGCGTGGGGACAGGCAGGGCCCCTGGACCCCCGTGAGCGGCCGGTGGCTGTGGCCCAGGCCCCGTCTGTGCAGGGAGTGAGTCCACAGTGCCGATGGGCCTGAATGCACGGCGACTGGTCCCAGACGCTCCAGTGGCTCAGGCCAGCCTAGGCCTACAGAGCCAGGGGGCCCCGGGCAAAGCTTCCCGGTCTGACAAAGGGCAGGCGCAGTGTGGAAGGACAGGGAGGGTCCACACAAGGGGGGTGAGAGGGTGGTGGAGTGGGCAGTGCAGCCAGGAAGGCAGCAGGCAGGGCCTCGAGCCGGGGCAACAGATGCAGGCCAGAAGTAGAAACCCCGTCAAGGAGACGGGAGTCCCTGAGACCTCTCCACGGCCACCCCATGTGCTCCACCACCTCACGGCTACTGCAGCATTGCGGGGTGACCCGGATGTTGGGCTCTGGCCTCAGGTGGTCGTCCCAGCTGACGTCAGATCAGAGCCGCCCTGCCTTGGCCACCAATGGCCCCCACCCCGCAGCTCCTCCCCACTGCTGGGTCCCACAGGTATGCGTAAGCCGTCCACAGCCTCCCCAGCACACACGCTGAGGCCCGAGTGCATCTGAACTCGCCAGGCCCTCTGACTCCTGCCCTCCAGCCTCCCACAGCCGCTGGCCGTGCCCCACGTCCATCTCTTCTGGCGGGTGGACATGTCCCTAGGAGGCATCCCTTAGCGCAGACCCCTGACCCCGTTAGTGTCACAGAAAGAGGTGGGGTCAGGAGTGAGGCCGGGCTGTGGCCTAAGCCAGTGCGAGAGACCTGCCCAAGGCATGGACGTCTGGCTCTCCCACCTGAGGCCCTGACATGACTGTAGCCCTGGACTGGGGCGTGGGCCATGCCTTGCCCCCGGTCTGCAACTTGAAGTCTGTCCGGGGGGCTTGTGAGAGGGAGCCTTCCAGGCTGTGGGCCCATGGGCAGGCAAGCCGCGGACCCTAGGCCCTCGGCGGCTCCTAGAGAGAGGACAGGGAAGGAAGGAAGGGCGAGAAGATGGAAGGAAGGGGCGGATGTGGGTGAGCCGTGGTAGAGGCCCTGCCCCCCAGGGAGAGCTGTCCCAGACCAAGGCAGGAGAGCGAGGTGCTGCCTCGTCTGCGGGGTTGAGGCACGGCAGGAAGCCCGCCCAGCAGCTCACTGACACTCCCAAGCCATCACGGTGCCGGTGGGAGGAAGCCCGACCTGTGTCTCCAACGCAGGCAGCTCCACACACCTGACCCTGAATCCCTCCCCAAGGTCGAGACACCAGATCCACGTTCAGGGGCGGAAACCACACAGGAGAGAGGCGGGGGAGAGAGAGGAAGATACACAGTGTCAAAAATAAACAGTAATGATTTTAAACTATTTACGTGACTGTTAACGGGTCCCAAGGAGCAGAGCAGTCAGGTAAAGCCAATGGCTGAGAGCAGTCCTCCCCCGGGCTCCACAGTGGCTCCGTCCCCAGGCACAGGGCAGCAGGTGGCCCAGGAGGTGGGGCTGCCGGTGTCACGGAGATTGTACTGCAGGGATGCAGGTAAGGGGGACACTGGGAGTGTCCAACCCCAGGTCTCAGGAGCGGACGCCGGGTGTTGACGGTGGGAGAGGCATGGGCTCCCTCTGCTGCAAGGGCTCCCGCGCGCCGTGGCCTGGGGGCTAGCGGTTTACCAAGACACGGCTGTCATCCACGCAGTCGACTCCAGTTTTCATCCAGGCTGCGGAAACCGTGCTCCCAACCTCCACCCTAGGCGGCCTCGGCCTGACATTTCAGGTTCCAGAGCCACCTGACGCCTGGACACGGGGCCCTCTCGGGCAGCCTGGGGTCTGGAGCAACCAGTTCAGGCCGCAGGAAGGGTCAGCACCGGACACGGCCGTGACCCAGCCTCCGGGAGCAGTCCTGCCATGGCCGAGTGTTGGGCCGGCCCAGGCCTTCGCACCGCGGCCTCACTGTGGGGCCCCCTTCCTTCTCTGCTCCAGCTCGGACAGCCGCTGCTCGCGGGCCTGCACGTGCAGGGCTCCCACTCGGTGCGCCGTCTCGGTGGCCGTGATGTCGATCTGGGCGTAGCGGGAGGCGCCGGTCCCTGGAAGCAGCCCCTGGTGAGCCACTGGCCCACTCCCCAGGGCCATGCGGCCTGCGCAGGACACTCCCTGCAGGGGCCGCTCTGTGAACCCGCCACACACGCCCTGCGCTGGTTGCTCAGCCAAGACCTGGCCCCGCAGCCCTTGGAGGCGCTGAAGTGGGGGCGTAGGTGGGCGTGACACCTCAGCATGTGGCCCGGCCAGAGACGGAGTTTGGAAACAGCACTGGTCAGGGGCGGATGGACTTGGGCCATAGGGAGGAAGAGGGCCCAGCCATAGCCGCAGTGCCGGCTCAAGGACCGGGGTGTGGGCCCCTGCCCTGTGTCGGGGTCACTGAGTGGCGACCTACCTCGGACGCCCGCGCCGGCCTCGGGGAGCTCCAGGCCCAGGTAGTGCAACTGCTTCTTGGAGGAGGGGCTGGCGGGGATGTTCACGTAGGCGGGCGCCTCCACGCGCAGCCCCGGGGATCCTGCGGGGTGGGTGCTGTGAGTCCCCGGAGGTGGCCCGGGCTGCGCTGACCCGGAGAGCTGCCGCCCCCTCCAAGTGCCCGCCTCCCGCCCTCCGCTTCTGCCTTCTCCCGCCTTTCCAGGACCGCCCATCTTTGGCCCAGCGCTGCCCCATCCTGAGACCCCACCTGTCGTCCCCTGCCTAGTCCAGGCGCCCACCTGACTTCTGGAAAAAGTTGCGCCCCCCCATGCCACCTCTGCCTGCTGTTGGCACTGACACCTGCCTGCCCCGTGGCCTCCCCAGGGCCCACTCTTCTGTCTTCCTGCACCTCCCTCCCGGCCACCCCCACCCCAGCTCTCTCAGACCCCTCCCGGGCCTGTAATGTTCCCCAGCTTCCCCACACTGGCGACCTGGGTGTTCCCACTGGCTGCAGGCTCCGGGTACCCCCCTTTTAGACAGAGGAGTCCCCACAAGGCTGCTTCTAAGCCAGCCTGCACTCCATCTGCATCCCCAGCTGAGCAGACACCCCGGCCCAGGACGCCCGGGCCTCTCGTGCCCTGTCTCCCTCCCAAGAAGCAACTCCTGCCCCCACCGGTTTCCTCACTCTGCAGACCCTCCTGGGCTGGGGAGGGCGGGGTCAGAGTGGGACTGGGGGAACCCAGCATGCCAGGCTGCTGGGGTTCATGGCTGGCTCCATGTTGTGGGTGGCCTGAAAGCACACCGGCCCCATCTTTCCTGCAGACCCAAGAGCCCTGCACCCCTGGGCACCATGGTCCTGCAGGTAGGGCGCTGGGCCTCCCTCTCATTCTGGTCATCACAGCCCTGCTGGGGTGAACACCGCCATAGGATGGGGAGAACAAGTCTCAACCCTCATTCGGCGAGGGCCAGAGACCTAGAGACACAGGTTGGATCGGACCAACCTGGCACACACTCAGCCCACAGAATTCAGGTGGGGGCAGAGTTCGGAGGGACAGAGCCCTGGAGATCATCCCATCTGAGCCGTGGGCCCAGGGGAGGGGCCCTGGCCCAAGGTTCAGGCCTCCCCCTTCAGCGTCATAGACTTCCCAGCCCAGCCCTGACATGCCGGCCCCTGGCCACCT